GGGCATCCATGCAGACCAGCCAAAGAGAGCCACCAGGAGATGACCCTGGGGCTACCCCAGAGAGGAGAAGTGTGAAGTCACTATGAGCGGCCAAGGCCATCTCCAGGCTGCTGAGTTCTTGCTAACTCACCTGCCACTGTCCACGCTCTTCAGCTAAAACTTCATTTATACAAAATTTTCTGAAGTGTGGTGACACTGAGGGGCCCTGGTGGGAAGGTGAGTGGTTCCCGGTGCTCCCCCAAGGTCATGGGCACAACAGCACCCCCATCCAGCATCTGTGCTAGGACTGCAGCCTTCTATCAAAGGTTAACGAGGTGCCCTCCTGAGAGAGGACAATGGGGTCCAGTCACTCCGGAACAGAGGATCCTATGGAATACAACTCCAGCCCAACTGGGACTCCTGGGGGCCCCGGTCTGGGCTGTCAGGCTGGTCTCCACACACCCCCCTTTGTCAGTTAACTCATGGAGTCATAGGCTCGGTCTTTGGGGCCAGTCTCAGGTGGGCAGAGGGAGGGGCCCATGTGCTGTGGAGACTCGAGGTGAGGACCAGAGGAGACTGAGGGTCCCCAGGGAGTGCACGTGCAGCCCTCCTGACAGCCCTGGATGACTGTGGGGTGTGGTGTCCAGATGTAATGCCACTGATCCCGCTGGGAGGGGAGAAGTGAGGGCCTGGGTCAGGTGCCCGGGTTCAGGTCAGCAGAGTGAAGGAACCCAGCTGTGCCAAGAGTCAAGGTAGAACCCTGAGGGGGGCTCTGGGGCCCCAGGACATCCAGGTCAACACTGCTCTCAGCCCTGGGAGACCACGGCAGGGTTGTAGGAATGAGCCCCTTACTCCCGCTTGCTTCTCAGGGGTCCTGGCTAGGGAGGGCCTGCTTCTAAGGGGAGCAAGGTCAGGGACAGAGGATGGTGCTCAGACCTGCTGAGAGTCAAAGTGAAGAGCAGAAGGAGAGTGGAGGAATGCCCAGGACATCATCTCATCTCTGGGAAGCCCTGGGTTTGGAGCCCTGGTGTCACATCCGCAGGCTTCCCTTTGCGGTCTCAGTGAGGTGATGGCCTTGGAGTGATGGCCCTGCAGCCGGTAAACACAAGGGGCATCCCCGGACCTGCCAGGGCTCAAGATGAGGACCTTGAGAGAGGAAACAGGGAATCCCTCCGGTCCCGGCACCTGCTGTCAGCCTGGGACGACTCTCACGGGGGCATGAGCTCTGGGTCTCAGGGACATTGGAGACTTGATATAAGGGGCGAAGCTTCAGAGATTGGAGGGGAGATTCTTAGTTTCTGAAGGAGTTTAGGTGAGGACCTTGAGGGAGGACTGAGGGGAGCCTGGACTCCAATCAGAGGAGACTTAAGAGAAGCCAGTCCCTGCTGTTGGTCCTTGACATCCCTGGGGTAGAATGAGTACAGGAGAACATGGTCAGACTTCCTGACATACAGGTCTCATACTATGGACACGGTGTGGGGGAGGAGTTCCTGATATCTGGGTCTCAGACTGAGACCTCACATGTGAGGTGGGGACTCAGGAAGATAATTTCCCAGGACCTGCGGGGTGTCAAGTTGAGGATCCTAGGAGGGATTGGGGACCATGGGCCCCAGTCAGAGGGCACCTCCGAGAAGCCCATCTCCGTTGTCAGTTCAGGGCGACAGTGGAATAGAATGAGTGAAACAGGCATGGTCTGATTTCCTGACATCGGTGTCTTCGAGAGATTGGGGTCCTGGTATAAGGGACGAGGCTTCAATTGGGGAGAGGCATGAATCCAGGTCCTGCCCGGGGCCAAGGTGAGGTGCCTGAGGAGAACTGAGGGGACCCTGGGGGAGGATTGACGGAACCCGAGAGATCCCTGCCCCTGAAGTCATACGTGGGAGCCCTTGAGGTGAGAAGAGCACACTAGGCCCATCTGCCTTCCTCACATGCAGGTCTCAGAGAGACTGGGGGCCTCATGAGAGAGGGAGGGCCTCAAAATGGAGGACAGGATAATCCTGCATCTTGCCTGGAGTCCAGCCTCCATGAGAGCAAGGAATGAGTCAGTTAGACCCTAACATGAGGAGGGATCCTTGCCTTTGGTGGGGGTCTTGGAGGCCACAGAGTGGGGTGAACGGGGTGAGCAGTTTCTTGACCTCTGGCTTAGGGACCTCGAGACCTGAGGTGATCAGGCGGAAGGCTGAGGCTTCAGGTCCACAGAGGGTGGGCTTCCCGGACCCCGAGGAAGGACTGAGCAGACCCCCACCCCTGTGGTTAGTGCTGGAAGGCCAGGCAGGATGTCAGGAGGAGCTGAGGGCCTACGGGAGGCCCTGAGCAGGTGTGGCCACATGTGGGGCTCATTAGCACTTTCTGTTCTTTTTCTGAGTTTCTATGAGGGAAGGGACCAGGTTGTGCCATGGGAAAGGTGAACATTAACAAGGGAACTCCAAGGGGACCTCCCACCACACAACTGTGGTGACCTCACAGAGTCCACCGCTTGTACCATCCGAGAAGGCTCAGGGCTATGCCACAGGATACTGCGGAGGTGCCCCCTCCATGTCTCTCACAGGAACCAGAAGGCGAAGGCAGAAGTCTGAGGACCATGTCCTGAGGTCAGAGTAGGGGAGGTCCAGCCAGTGCTAGGAGTCAAGCTAGGAGGGTGTCCTAAGTGTGCAACAGGGCTTCCCTTCCCAGAATAGAGGAGACCCCACAAGGACCTAACCCCCACACCTTGTCAGCCCCAGAAATCTTGGACTGTACTGTCTGCACCCTGGGAGCCACCTTACATCCTCCTTCAGGCAGCCAGGGAACTGGTCGCCCCAGAGGCATGCCCCTGTGAGGTCTGAGAGCACCCCTCAAGGGGAGACCTGTATTTCTCAGCCGGGGCCACTCACAACCCCTCTCTCCCCCAGGCCCGTCATCCCCATCAATTCCCCTGCCTCACTCCTGTCTGTGGTTTGATCCCAGGCATTGCACTCGTGGTCAGGAAGACTGAGCTGAGCAAGCCCAAGGAAGACCTTTAGGATCCAGGCGAGGCCCAGGGCCCGGTGAATGTGCAGCTCTTGGAGGCTGAGGCGGGGGAGGCTGCATCCACCTCAACCTCCTCGCTCCCAGTCTCCTCCTTGCCCCTGTGGACAGAGGATGAGACGGTTGGATGGCGTCACCGACTCAATGAAATGGGTTTGGGTGGACTCCGGGAGTTGGTGATGGACAGGGAGGCCTGGCGTGCTGTGGTTCACAGGGTCGTAGAGTCGGACACGACTGAGCCACTGAACTGAACTGAACTGAACTGACACAAATTTTAAAAGGAGGTTTCTCTTAAAATACTGTGTTGCCATAATGACACCTGGTTCCACCTGAAGTTGACTATTCTCCAACCTTGAGTTAACCAATGCATTTTTCTTATGGAAATGCTTGTCTCAAGCTGTATTAATATACTATGCATTTACCCCAGACTCTAACGGCTCAGAACTGACTTGACAAACCATTATGTATTACTCAGACATTGTTCCCCTAACCTATGTAAACAAAACTATTTGTATGGTGATCTGCCCTTCTACAAGATTCAAGTCAATCGCTTTATGGCCTGGGATGACTCCTCTGGTGCCAAGAGTATCCCAAAATACATCTTATGGATGAGAGGCCTGGTGCCAATCTGAGTTTTAAGACATTCCTTTCTTTCATTAACAGACTGCTAGTGACTATATAACATCCAGCTAAAAACTAGCAGGGGGGTACTCTTTCTGCCGCCTTCAGGTGCCTATGTCAGAAGCTTTCTCTATCTCGTTTATACTTTGATAAAAATTTATTACACAAAAGCTCTGAGCTATCAAGCCTTGTCTCTGGCCCCGGACTGAATTCTCCTCCGGAGGCCAAGAATCCCAGAGTCTTTTCTTGGGTCAGCAACAACCTTTCAACCTGTTACTCCATCCTGATGGCGTTTTTTTCAGTCTTGGTCCCAGTCGAAACCCCTGAGTCAAAGGAGGAGCAGGGAGAATCCTCAGATTATAAGTGTGCCCTCTGTGAACAGGTCAAGAACAAGCCCAATCCCTGAGCTGCCAGATCCCTGGGGACACTCAAAAGCACTCTTTTGTAATCAAAATAGATTTATGGCTCTAATAAAGTAAAGCAAAACTCCACTGGAGATAAACAATCAAACAAGAACTGCGAGTCTGTGTTCTTTCTATCTGTCCATTGTATTCACACATGGCACAAGATGAGCCAGAAAAGGCTGGAAGCCCACGCCCTATGCAGGCTTTGGTCCAGTTCCCACCGTCCCTTTTCATCTGAAACAGCAGCATTTCACAGATTCATCCAAGCATCTGAATCATGAGCCGAGTGCTGAGGCAAGCCCAGGACGGACAGGTCCCTGGGCCTTGCCTGCTACTCAGCAGACGGCCCAACTGGGCTCCTGATCTTTGTGGTGTCACCTTCCATGAGTCATGCACCCTGCAGCAGAAGAGCTCCTCAAGTGTCCCCCAACGATGCCACAAGTTTCTGATCAGCAGCTGAGTGTCCCAGCTCCCTATCCAGGGGCCTCCCCAGGAAATTCACTGGAAAGCAGGGTCACACCAGCCGCCAAGTGCCTTGCAAACACATTACCCCAAACCCAAAGACAAGTACAAGGTTTCCACAAGGTGAACACCAGCCCTAGTCACTCTGCCCTCACAGCTGTATTTAGGAGCCTCTCTTTTTGGGCATGAGGCGGCCAGGCACTGCATCCAACACACATGCTTTGAGAGCCAAGGGACACTTTACAGTAGGACAAGGGTCATGTGCAAGGATAAACAGTGGCCTGTTTCTGGGCCTGTGGGCCTCTCTGCCGGCCTATGCACAGCCCTGCCCCGAGCCTTCCTCCATCAATGTTGGTCATTGTTCCAACATCCGGGACTTTGGACCAGAACAGAGAGGGGAAAACACTAACCGGTTTCCACAACACATTTCTCTCAACCACCCAGATCCAGCAGGGCCAAAACGACTGGCAATGCCATCAATTCATAAAGGTCAAAGTCCCAGAGACTCTCACTGATTCCAGAGCAGCATCACATGAGAGGAGTCCCTGCCCCCAGCCCCGCACCAAGTGGGCACCACAGCACAGGCCGATTCAGACAGAACCGGGTGGCAAGTCTAGAGCGCAATGGGGACTGCATGGTATCAGCATGTTCTGGTCTCTCGGTCACTTTCCTCTCGAGAGCCCAGTCTGGACAGGCCTCCTGCCCAAAGAGGATCAGGTGCTGGAGGATGTCCACCTGGAAGATGTCCTTCCCGCCCCTTCCAGCGATGGGCTGCAGCAGCCAGTGGGAGTTGGCAAGCGCAGTCATGTACTTCTGTTGCAGGTCGGGTAGCAGGCCTTGATTCTCCAGCTCCTCCACCTAGTCGGGACCTAGGTTTCCTAGGCACAGCAAAATGCCCCCGATGACCACGAGATGTGTGCAAAGACAGGACACAGAATGAGAACAAGGTCATTCAAGGTTGCACCTGCTTGAGACTAAGACCATATCATGGAGGGAACCTGAGGCAAACTGGGTCCTCTGGCTGAGCATTTCAGATGGGCTCACTTCAGCAAAGGGAACTCACGGCGAGGCCAAGCGAGGGAGGGAGGAAAATGAAAGGGAGAAGCCCCATGCTCCATGAACCCACCAGGCCACGGGCAGCTCTGTCTGCCCACTGCAGGCCACAGGGACAGAGCAGGAGGGCCCCAGCGGGGGCCAGCAGACATCAGGTCCCCAAGGAATTTACCAGCAGACAGGTGTTGCTGTGGGGCCTCACCCCTGGGGAGTCAGGGGACTTGCTTAGGCCCTGCTTCAGGCAGTGTGTGTATGGAACCCAGGCTGGGTGCTTCACTGCCTCTCATGGTCTCTGCCGGGCACACAGACACACGTCAGGACACACATACACACAGACACACAGACAAGTGCCACGTACAGACCTGGACCTTCCTCTACCTCAAGCACAAACGGGGACTGAGGCCCAGGGTGGTGATCAGGCACCTCGGGCAGCTGGCTCCCAGCTCAGGGACCCTTGCTGTCCCTCTGAAGAAACCTCAGCCGCCATGCCCAACCTCACAAACTAGTTCAACCGAAAACAAACAAGCACAATCCGGCCAAGATCCAGGGCAGTGTTGGGGGCCATGCGGGCAACAGGAGGCAGGGCATCACTTACCCACGGCCACTCCATGACTGAACTTTACCCCGTCCCGCAGCAAGGCCTGGATCTGGGTGGGGCTCATCCCCAGCCTCTGTTCCAGCAGCTCCCGCCAGGCCACGTCCTCCCAGTCCCGGTGTGCCATGTGGACGGCCATGGTATAGTGCTGGTGGCTGTGTAGCATGGGCTGACACGGCATCTCCATCTCCAGGGTCTTGACACCGTTTTAAGACAAAACCCGCATAAGGCCGTCAGAAGAGCAGACAGCCGAACTTCATCTCCCAGGGCTCCCAGGTCTTCATGTGGCTGCAGAAACTCAAAACCACAAAGGTCAGGAGTGTGATTCAGTGCCCTGCAAGCTCACAGCCCTGGGCTGGACCTCAGCCCCACGAGCCCGCACATCCTCCAAATCTGCGGACACAGAATGCATGGGTCAGAGAAGGCTGGCTCTTTCCATCTGTCTCCACGCAGTCCACTGATAGCGGGGTGGCAACCCAGAGGACCCATCCATCCCATGCAGTCTGTGGGGAGGTCAGCAAGGAGGGTGGGACAGTGGGAGAAAGGCATGAGGTGAGTTCTGAGACAGAGGGCCCTGAAACCCTCAGAGCACTGAGGAGGGAGGGTAAGCCCCCTGGCTTCACAGCCCAGAGACCAGGCTCTGGTCCTCTACCAGCAGAGACAGCCATTGTCCTGGGCTTGGCTTCCCCCACTCCCTGCCACCACCCCACCTTTCAGCTCTGCGGCCCCATCATTGCCCATGTTCTGCAGACCCCCCATCTTAGTCCAGGGATGATGAGGGCAGATCTATGCTAACCAATGTGGACTCAGCCATGGGGCACCCTGGACCTCAACAGCCCTGCCAGGCGTCTTCCCCATAACTTTGGGAGCCACTTTCCACCCAGTCCTTCCCATACCACTGCCTCCACTGGCAGCAGGTGCCCCGGGCCCTGCCCAGAGCCTAGAGAAAGAACAAAGAAGAGCAGGAACTACTGGGATGGGTGCACTCCATGTCATCACCAGGGCCTAGGATGGCACCATGCAGGGATCACAGAATTCAGACTTCAAATAATCCACTAGGTTATCATCGCCTCGTTCGACGGCTGAGGAGGCACAGAGGCATAGATACATAGCCCATGACTGCAGGGGACTTGAACACATGCACCACCATTCTCACTTCTTTCCCTGTACCTGGGGGGGGGGGTGTTCCCTGCTCACTGGATGGGGGTTGAGGCAGAGGGGCAGAGCCGCGAGTCAATGTCACCAGGGTCTCAGCACCTTGCAAGGGGCTTCTGTTTCCACATGGCTGTGAAGATGGGGACAAGGTCCCAGGGGCACCCCACTCAGGGCCTTCTGGACCTGTCCCTCCCCGAGCACAGCAGAACCACAGTTCTCACAGGCCCACGAGGCCCTACGTGATCTAGCTCCTACCCTGGTGGCCTGCTCTCCTCGACCCTGGATTCACTCCCAGGAGCCACAAAGGCCATCTTTCCATCCTTGGAACATTCCAGTGTATTCCTTCTTCAGAGCCTTTGTAGGGTGTGAGGACTCACATCATGTACCCTCAGAGTCAGGTGCTGGAGTCCCAATCCCAAGTACCTTGGCGTGACCTTACAGACAAAGGAAAGTTCTTCACAGAGCTGATGGAGGTCAAGTGAGCACATTAAGGATGGACCCTCCTCTAACAGTACAGCTGTCCCCATATGAAGGGCACATTTAAAAAGAGACAGGCACATGGGGGGAACTGGGGTGAAGAGGAAGGCAGAGCTCTCCAAGCCCAGACACACCCACCAAGGCCAGCAATGCCCTGGAAGAGATGGAGGAGAGATGGGAGAGATGCTCCACAGCCCTCATGAGAGCCAATGTCAGTCAACACCTCGACCTCCGCTGCCGGGCCTCCTGAACCAACATGGATCCTAGTATGAGCCACCCAGTGTGATCTGGATGTGACTGCCGGCAAATGAAGCCAGAGGGTCAGCCCTGTCCGGACATCTCTCTTCAGGGTCAAGTGGGGAGTGGGGGGATGGCTTCTCCACTCCCAGCACCTCGGGCACACTCTTCCACGTCCGCACATCCTCATGTGTCTCTTTACACCTGCCAGTGTCAGGGGTCCCACAAGTTACTGATGCTTCCTTCTTGATGGAAGGGAAGGGAAAACTCATTCTGCCAATACAGCCACTCGACATGACAACACACTCATTGAAAAACCATGCAGGAGGTGGCCCAGGGCACATGGCACACACCCGAGGTGCTGACACACACCAGCAAATGGCCTTCCACAAAGGCTTCCCCTGTTTCCACTCCACCAACCACAGGCAAGGGTGTCATGGCCACATGCACTGGCTGGCCCTGAGCATCATCATTCGGTTGAACGTTTGCCCACCTGCTGGGTGACAAAGGGTCATACTTTTCACTGGGTCTGGCTTGGTTACAAAGGACCTGGCTGGCCCTGGGGCTTGGCCATTGCTGTGTCTTCTACTGGGGTATGTGACTGGATCCCAGGCTTGCCCAGTGGCCGCCATTCAGTTTCTCAGCCAACCCAACCCCTTCCTCCTGAGAGCCTCCAAATCTCACCTGTGTGGGTGGAATCCCTGAGCAAGAAGTGGCTGCAAGCACTCCTACAGCCTGAAGCAGTGGGTGCCTGCTTGGTGGCCAGAGGAGAAAACACTCTTCTGCCTGCTTGACTGGGCATCTTCACCTGCACGAGGATCAGAGGAACAGGGAGAAAGTCACCAGTGACAATACAGCAGTCTTGGACAACAGCTACCATGGTCTTCTCCTTGGCAGGGGCCTCAAGCCACGGAGTCCCAGGAGGGCCCAACTGATGAGAAACACATGAGCAGGTTCCCTCAGGGTGGGTTCTGCTCATCACAGCAGCTGGCCTGTCCTCATGTGGCTGGGACAGGGACCCCACGATGACTCAGTCCATAGCACATAAGCCCATCTCCCAGGAGTGATGGTGATTTATAGCCCAGGAGACCCTGCAATACAGGAGAAAACAACTGCTCCCCTCACACTGCCACTCTGGAAAGAGCCGGGGGCCGCCACAGTCAGTGGGCTGCCCTCCACGGACTCGTGGTTGGGCCCCACCAGAAGGGGAACTGGGGACAAGCAGCTGAGTCCTGCAGGGTCAGGCTTGGGTCGGGACGACTCGCATGGGGAGGGTGGGGCTTGTGTGAGGTCATAGTCCAGGGGCAGGGTAGGAGGCTGGAGGGCAAGTCTGCTGGCATCTTCCCTGTGGCCCAGGGCATCACTGGGATGCACACGTGGAAAGAAAGCGGGAGGGGACTGTGGCCGTGGAGGGGGCCAGAAGGTCTGCCTCGGCCCCCTGGCAAGCACTCCTTGTCCCAGAACCTGGAAACCCCCGCCTGGAGGTATCATCTGCACATGAGGCAGGTTCCGCCTTCCTGCAAGCAGAGCGAGTCACAATCGCTTTGGGATGGCTGGGCTGTGGCCACCAGGCAGGACAGTGATCTGCCACTGGGACTGAGACAGCTGACAGCACTGGCTGGCCTCAGTTGCATCGTGCCCACAAACACTGATGCCCATCATTTCCAGTGTGTATGGCTTCCTTTACTCATGTAGGCACGCAGGTACGTAGGCACACAGGCATGCAGGCACGCAGTTACATAGACATGCACGTAGGAAAAAAGGTGCATTCCCTCACTGGCCCTGTCTACTAGGAGACAAACTAAGATCCGCCAAGTTCTGAGGCACCTGGAAGGTCAGACGGGGAGGAGCCTCGTGACCAGGGGCCTAGAGTGGGACCCGGAGGGAGGAGGACCAGGAAGTGAGCAGCCGAGTGGAAGAGAGGGGAGGAGGTGGGAGGAGAAGTGTGGGAGGAAGAGTGTGGGAAAGTCTTGGGTGAGGTGGAGTTTCTGGAGAAATACTTGGGGCTGGGGTGGGGAGGGATGGAGCAGAGCTGGACTGGGAAGGAAAGGGGCTGGGGCTGGGGCTGGGCTGGGGTGGGACTGGGGTGAGGCTCCTGCTGGGCTGTGGGTGGGGTGGAGCCATCAGAGGCAGGGCGTGGCTGCAAAGATGGAGCTGTTTGCCTGGGAAACCCACGGAGAGTGGGCCTGAACAGCTTCATGACAGAGGCCAGACTGTGCCCTTTTGAGTCCTTGCCATAGGTGTCCAGTCTGCGAGAATCGGTGAGAGTCAAAGCGACCATGACCCAGTGTCTTCAGTGACTGCATCTGAACTTCAGAGTGGACCCCAGGGGCCAGGGAAGCGGAGAGAGGCACGACCTCTGGGCAGAGTTCCCCATCGCTGGGCTGAGGCTGGCTTCCCTCCGAGCCACCCTGGGACTGCTGGCCCGGTGCTGAGCAACAGTCCATCTGTTTTTTTGCAGAGGCGAAAGAAAATCCTCAATGTGTTTCCTGCTGCCCCTGGGACCTGAGATGTCTCAGAGAAAGGCAGCTTTGCCTTCAGAACTGTTTCCTGAACTCTTCCTCTCGTCTGGGGGCTCAGCTCACCCAGGGCAACCATCTGACTCTGTTCCTATCCACCGCTCTGCCTGCTGTGTCCCTGCCTCCCAAGTGCCTGATCACAGTAAATGCTCCTCCTCCTGTCCCCACTGCTACTAGCTGAACTCAGGCCTCATGGGCCGGGGTGGTGCTGTCAGCCTAGGCCCCCCACCAGCCTGGAAACCTGTCTCTCCATCTCCAGCTGGTGTTGTACACACCATTGATTCTGTGTCACACTGCATGCACATCTGTCCTCAACCCTGGATGGAAACCACAGTTGAGCCCTCTCCTGTTTAAGCCCCAACCTGACTGTGGTGCCCTGGGGGGCTCCCTGTGGTCCCAGGTCTCCTTCCTCATCGCCCAGCACTCTGGGTGGCTGTACTGGCCCTGGGCTCTGTGCAGAGCACATCCAGGACCCCACAGTTCAGCTCGTGCAGTTCCTGCCCCTAGACCGCTGGCTCCTCTTGTCCTGACAACCCTCTGTCCTCCCAGGCACAACCGTAACATACCTTTTCCGTCTGCCCTAGTGTCCCTTGCTCTCATCTGGTAGTTCTGAGGCGCTCTGCATCTTCCTGCTGATGCCTTTGCCCCCCTCTTCCACCCAGGCTGTGACTGCTGTACACTAGTCTGCACCCCCGAGGGTCACCGAGTCCCTGGAAGGCAGGGTCGGTATCTCACTGGTTCCCGTTAGCTGGGCACCCACGCAACTGCTGCTGTGGGAATGTTGAGTCCGAGCAGTGTTTTCCCTTCT